TGCAGCCAGCCCGGGTTTGATCCCTAGCACCCCATACGGTCCCCCCAAGCACCGCCAGGAGTGATCCCTGAGTGCAGTAAGCCCTGAGCACCACCAGGTGTGTGGTTCAACACCACCCCCACCTCCCACCCCAGAAAAACATCTATGTGACTAAAACAAAAAACATAAATAGTCCAATAAGAGATTTGCTCCTCGCTTTATAAATGGCTAATGCCTCTCACACAGAGGGCCTCAACTGAGTCAGAAAATTCACAACAACCAACTGGACAAAGGATAGCAATAGAACCAGAATATTCTTAAGTACATGAAAACTGCTTAAGCTTATAGTAGGAGAAATACAAAAGAAACATGCCCAGATACTTAATCCAGACTGTCAAAAATCCAGAATTTTAACACAGCGTACATTTTATCAATCAGGACACATTTCATTCAGCCAGCGTAAATTGCCAAAGTTTGCATGGTTGATAGAGTCAAAAACAGTTGTCTTTGATTTATTTTACATACGTATCTGTGTGTGTACTGTATGTGCATGTATATAGCTATAGAGAGAGAAAGAGATAAGATGATACAACTGTGCTAAAATTTGTCATTTTGATGTACAAAGCTACTGCACCCCACCACCACCGCCATCATCTCTGTCACCTTTAGGCCCATCTTCATTCCCCCTTACCCCCTGCTGCTGTTTGATCAGTTTTGTAACCCAAGACCAAAGATTTGTTACTGTCTCATACTGTCTGCTGTCTTTGGCGTATAACCGAATGCTAAAATATTTTCACTACATGTGTTCAGCTGTGTAGTGAAATACATCCGGTGCCCAGTGCATGATGACAAATAAATAGTGAGAGGCACGACTGATGTTAAATTTTCTCCTGAGGAACTGGGGAGATAACACAGCGGGTTGTATCTTGCACATAACTGACTTGAGTTTGATCCCTGATATCCCATAAGACACCCTGAGCACTGCCAGGAATGCAGAGTGCAGAGCCAGGAGTAACCCCTGAGCATCTCCGGGTGTGGCCCAGAACCAAAACAGCTTTCTCCTGAAATTTATCATCGATATGAGAGGGATTATCTATATGATGACACATAATATAACTGAAGAACAAAACTGCTTTGCAAGTTATTTTAGTGTCTACGGTAGGTGTTTTCCTAATAGGAAATTTGCATTATTTTTTGGGTTACACCCGGCAATGCTCAGAGGTTACTCCTGGCTCTGCACTCAGGAATTACTCCTGGTGGTGCTCAGAGGACCATGTGGGATGCTGGGAATCAAACCCGGGTCAGCCGCGTGCAAGGCAAATGCCCTACCCACTGTGCTATCGCTCCGGCCCCCTTTGCATGTTTTTTGATTTTTTTCTAAGTGTTCTTTCCTAGCATTTCAGAAATCATACTTAATAACACTCTCAGAGAAGCAGAGGTAGTCCAGTGGCAACAAAGCAAGGAGTCACGATACTAGTGTCAGTAAGGTGAAGACATATGAATTTCCCTGCTCTCCTCTGACCCGCACAGGGGACGGTCCGTTTCCTATAACTGCACCTAGGCCAACAGCAAAGGAAGCGAGGGAAAACAGACCTGATGGACTCCTTGACAGTGCTCCGGCGCCAAAGCCTGGCACACCCTCAGCTCCTCCCTCCTTCCCCCGCCTCCATCTTCATTGTCCTCCTCTGCATGTCCCCTAGCAAGTATGATAGATTAGGCCTCCCTCTCTCCTAATGAGCTGCAAAATAGGAAGATTGTGTTCAAGGTCATTGTTCCTACAGATTCTTTTACCATCATGCTGAACACAAAAGTAACAAATAGTGGGGGCTGGAGCTATAGCACAGCCGGTAGGGCGTTTGCCTTGCATGCGGCCAACCTGGATTCGATTCCCAGGATCCCATATGGTCTCCTGAGCACCGCCAGGGGTAATTCCTGAGTGCAGAGCCAGCCAGCAGTAACCCCTGAGCATCGCCAGGTGTGACCCAAAAAGCAAAAAAAAAAAAAAAAAAAGTGACAAACAGCAAAAAGAGATTCTTTGAGTTAGCAAGTTATTCTCCTCGTAGGCTGGGAAACCGTCACTTCTGTTTTCGGTTCCACTTATCTTGGTATTAGCCCAGGAGCTGAAATCTACTTTTATACCAGACATGTTTAATAGCAAATGAGTGGTTATCTGCTTTGCTATAGGGGAGCTTAGAAATAGAATAACAGACTCTTGGAAACACCAAGAGCCTTCCGAAGACTAACGTAATAGTGAACGGTTGAACAGCGTGTGACCCAGCACACACACACTCCTTCTCCTGTGCCCCTGCCAGAGCCCACCAGCCCTGCAGAAGGGAGAGAAAGGATTCTGGCACCATTTCCTCCAGCTCCTCACTTGGCTCTAAGATTTATTAAGGCTCTGGGCTTAAACTCAACAGTTCTGTTTTAAAATACCCACTCAAGCTCGATGGTTCTAAATAGAACTAATGACAGCCAGGGTGAAAAAGGCCTGTAAGAACTTGCTCGGACACGGAGCTGATGTCTATAAACAGCTTCGTAGAAGGGAGCACAACATCTTCCTATCGCCATAGCATTTGTGTCTTGGCACAGAACTCAAGGAAAATCGTAGGAAAATATTACCTTCAACACAGATTACCACTCACTGCTCAACAAGTGGAGTTTCGCCTGTCTTCTCCCCAGATTTGTGTTCGAAGGACTCCATTTAATAAGTAGTCATAAATACCCACTAAGTAAGTAAAGATAAAATAGACTGGTGAGGGAATGAGTGAAAAAAAAAATGATCTGAGTTCTTCAAGCAAGGATAGCATGACCAATTCGAGTTCAAGAAGTAGCTGATGAAACCTGAAAACTGATTCCATATACAAAGGAATAAGGAATAATGTGGCTTCAGAAATTGTATGTGAAACTGCATTAAAGTTAGTATTTGGATGCTGGTTAGTAGACAAGGAGGGGGGAATGTCTACCATTTCCCCCTATGATCTTCATATGACTAAAAAGCAGTGGAATGATTTAAAAGGCACTGTAGCACTGTAGCACTGTCCTCCTGTCGTTCATCGATTTGCTCAAATGGGTACCAGTAACGTCTCCATTGTGAGACTTGTTGTTACTGTTTTTGGCATATCGAATGCGCCACGGCAGAAGAGGAGAAGTGAATCATTTCCATCTTCCTAGATACTGATTTTCATGAAGACCCTTAAGGGGAGACCTCTTGAGGCTGAATAGAACAGATTAAATAGATTAATTAGATGAATAGAAAAGATCAAGGTCAAGGCCCAGGATAAAGGAGTTCATCATTAGCAAAGACTGGTCTTGACTGGCAAACAGCAGAAGCTGAACATCCTTCGTCTGACTGTCACTGTCACTGTCACTGTCCTCCCGTTCATCGATTTGCTCGAGCGGGCCCAGTAACGTCTCCATTGGAGACTTTGTTGTTCCTATGTTTGGCATATCGAATATGTCACGGGGAGCTTGCCAGGCTTTGCCATGTGGGCGAGATACTCTCGGTAGCTTGCCGGGCTCTCCGAGAGGGGTAGAGGAATCGAACTCGGGTCGGCCATGTCAGCTGACTACAACATTTAAAAGATTTCTTGTTGGCCTCCTCCCATTGGTACTAAGAAGTCCTACCCCACTCCTTTGAAGAGAAAACAGAAGAAAAATTAATGTGGCCGACCTGCAACAGTCTGAGGGAAACAAGAAGGGCAAAATCTGGCATCTTTGCCAGGAGCGCCCTGCTGATGAGTGTGACACTGGCATTCTCGTGACCAGCCACTTTGTCGGGCATTATCATGGCAGATGTTGCCTGGCTTATCCTTTCAACAGACTAGAAGACAGTGCATGGTGTATGGGTCCGTAGAAGATACGAACTAACAGAAACAGAGAGAGAAAGTTCATTGTCTACATAATCTACTCATCAGATGTACGGGGAAAACTACAGTAGAAAGTCGTACTCGTGGTTTCCAAATTTGAATCTCTATTTACTATCGCCTGCCTTGTGCATGACGGAACCCAGTTCAATGGTCGACACCAAATATGACCCCCCGAGCTCTCCCAGGAGTGATCCCTGAGCACTGCCAGGTGTGACCCTAGATCAAAACAAAACATTCCAAAGCTGGGGCTTGAGATACAGTAAGGCCCTTGCTTTGCATGTGTCCAACCTCTGATCCCCTGCCCCACATGGTCGCCACACACCACAAGGAATAGCACTTGAGCACTGGTGGATGTGGCCACAAAAGGAATAAATTTCAAAATTAAGACTACAACACAGACCTGTTATCTCCTGACCTCCTGGCCCCTGTGGGCAGGACACAGAATTAGGAGCTTCCGAAGCTCCACATGGAATCCCAGAGTGCAGAAAATTGGGGGAACCCCAAAGTGAGAGATACAAACAACAGCATCCCCCAGTGGGGCACTTGGTGTGATCCTGGGGGCAGTAGTAGCATGTAGTGTAAGAGTGAGAGTGTGAGAGAGAGAGTGTGTGTGTGTGTGTGTGTGTGTGTGTGTGTGTGTGTGTGTGTGTTGGGTGCTGCCAAAGATTCAGTCTCCAGGGGCTGCTGAGTGATCTTTTTGGAAACAGGGGAAGTACACAAATAAGTTTGGGAGTCTGTGCCTTTTGATCGGCAAGCTTGTCACTGATAATGCTAGAAGTGTCGATGGCATCATTGTTGTTTTCAGTTCGGCCTCCATCAGGGGTCAGATGCATGCACGACAGTCATCTTAGCCACCGTGCTATCTCTCTGGCCCTGCTGCTTCTATTTCTAAAATAAAAATCAATGAACTGGGGCTGGAGCAGTAGCACAGTGGGTAGGGCATTTGCCTTGCACGTGACTGACCTGGGTTCGATTCCCAGCATCCCAAATGGTCCCCTGAGCACCACCAGGAGTAATTCCTGAGTGCATGAGCCAGGAGTAACCCCTGTACATCGCCGGGTGTGACCCAAAAAGAAAAAAAAAAAAGATCAATGAACTGTTCTACACCTTGCTAAAGTTGTTTTGACCATGCTCTCCAATTTTATGTATCCATAGGAATTGGCAGCCATGAAACAGATCCTCAATAGCATGCGGACCAAGCGTTCTGGGAACAACATACATCTTACTAAAACACAATCCAAAAATGTGACAGAAAATCAGAAGTCAGTGCCTTTGAATACGCCTAAAGAAGATGCAGACAATGTATTTATACCGAAGCCAACACTCTTTGTAAGTAGCATTTCTGAAAATTGAATGTATTTTACTTCAGTTTCTTTCCTCTAATTTCTAGTGGTTTGTTGGAGGTGGGAGGTAAGGGAGGGCACGCCCACTGGTGCTTGGATACGTCTCCTGCCTCATTGGAGACTAATCGTGCACCCCAGTTCCTTGAGTTCTCTCCCTGACCCTATGGGGTTTTTGTTTTGTTTTCCTAGTGTGTGTGGTGGAGGGGAGGGGGGCCATACTCAGAAGCACTGAGCACCTATCACTGGCTCTGTGCTCAGGGGATCACCTTGGTGCAGGGCTCAGGAGAACTTAGATGGAACCAGGTGAGCTATATACAAGGTCACTGCCCTAGCCACTGAACTGTCTTGCCTTCCACTGTGATTTTAAACTAATTTCAATAATTTTTTAAAATAGCCTTAAATATGTATTAATCTCTTTTCTGAATCCTTTTATTAACTATTCATAAGACTGATAGTTATACTTTATGTTATCTCATTTATATATTTAAATTTCAGGCTAAGGAGAGACAGCTCATTGGCTTCAGCCAAGGCAAGAACTCAGTCCCTAATACCACGTGGTCCCCATTGGCCATAGCCAAGAGTAACCCCAAGGACTTAGCCAGTCGTCCCTGAGCAATGCCAGTTGGGACCCCAGAACCAAATAGATAGATACATGATAGATGTAATATATTGCTTGCTCAGGAATTTTAGCCTTAATCTAATGCTTACCACCTCAGATCAGACCCCCTTTTTTGGAGAGGTTCTCCCCAGCAATAGTTAGGAGACCTGGTCCAATCAATGTGAGGTAGGACCCAAGGATGGGGCTTTGCTCAGCCCTGGGTGCCTGTGACTACTAGCCATCCTGGCAGAGCTTGGCAGCCTCCAGAGAAGCATCCAGCAATACTTCAGGGACCACATAGTGCTAGGGATTGAACTGGGGTTGGCAGCATGCAAGACATGCACCAGAACGTGCTGTCCCTCCAAACCCAGTGGGGCCTGCTTTGAAGGGAATATTTTTAATTTTCATAAAAATGAAAGGGATGCAAAAAACCATCACCTGCTCCCTCTTTCTTGTAAAATAGCATATTTTGCTCCAAGAGTTTCTTCCTAAAGTAGAATTTATTAAAACATAAACTAACTGAAATTCATTATTAGTTGGAAGAGTATATATATATATATGTATGTATATATATAACAAGTTATTCAAATAAGAAAAGTTGGCATCAGTGTTTAAAAATCTAGAAAATATTGGTAATTATGTTTAAACAAAACATAGAGGTAAAAAAATGAAAATAGAATGAAAATTTTTATTTTGTTTTAACGTGGTTACCCATTCAGACTTTAATGTCTCAGGGGGCGGGGCAGAAAAAGTGTTTTTTTGCCATCAGAACAGAGAACTAAACTCCAAAACGATTTTCTGTGCCATGTGCTGATGATTCGGTGTGTCTCCAGCATCCTTTCTCTTTAAACTCTGTAGGTATTTATAATAATCAGCCAAGTCTGGGAACTTGTGATGTAACCTATTCCATTGTAAATCTAGATACAGCTACGCAGGGTTGCCGAGAGGAGACAGCGCAGGGACTGTCCAGCTTCCTTTGTTGTTATTTTCCTATGGGGCCACCCCCATTTGGGGTTCTTGGGCCCCCCGGAGAAACACTCGATTGTAGCTGGAGGGCCATGTGATGCCAGGGATTGAGCTCAAGGCCCTCACCTGCTAAGCACACCCTTTATCTATTGAGCTATCTGGTCATGTCCCCGGGCCCCCAACCATTTTTACAGAGCCAAAGGTGGGGGGAGGGTTTCTGCTGCCTGCGCTTGGGTGGGGAGTCCTGGCTCTGGGCGGGGAGGTTGGGGGAGTGAAAGGGCGCCCAGCTGTCGCCCCCAAAAGACTGTGCAGTGTCAGAAATCAATCCTGGACCTCCAGACTCAACCTCCCCCTTTTCCTTTGGTCTTTTGCACCACAACCAGAGGCGCTCAGGGGTGACTGACTCCTGCGGTGCTCGGGGAACCTAGCCAGGCCTGAGACTAACCCCAGGCCCCCCAGCAGACTAAGCATATGCTCAGGCCTTGGAGCCCTCTCCCCGGCGCCACCTCCCAAGCCCCTTCCCTTCTCCAGTCTCCCAAGTTCCTGCTTCCTCCGGTTTCATTTCCCCAGTAGCTTAATTACATCCCCCTGTCTCGACACATATTTTCTTGCATCCCTTTCACATCGCCCTCTCAGCAGTCTCCTCCACTGCAGTCCTCCCAGTATTGCCCCGTGACAGGAGTTCAGGTCGCAGTGCAGAGTCCCTCTCGGTGACAGGACTGCTGAATGGCAGCACTCACCACTTAGCGCGGTGCCAGACATGGCCGCCCATACTGCCCAGACTGACACACATCAAAAAGAACATGAGCAACCATGCTAGGATGTAATCAGAAGCTGTAATCGGAGGTTTTCATGCTGAGTGAAATCAGTCCGAAACAAAGGGATAGGTACAGAATAATCTCTCTCATATGTGTGACTTGTACATAGCAAGGTCGCAAAAATTGGTCAGAGGCAGCACAACAAAACATAATCACAGAACTGAGTTTTTGGGAGATGGTGGGGTTAAAATGAAGACTTTGGGGGAACCAAGAGGAGGTAGGTGGGTTAACTGGTGTTTTGTGCAGTATTGGAATTATACACGGGAAACCATCATTCATGGTGTTGTAAATCACAAAACCTTAAGCAATAAAGAGAAAAATTCTAAAAAAAATCCACAGATTTTTAAAAACAAAATTCAGAAGTGAAGAAGGTATAAGATGGTGAAGAGGCAAATCATCTTTCCATTGTTGGAATGAGTCAAAGATGGTCTCCAAACCTTATAGCAGGACCTGGGCCGAGATTATAACAAGCCTGACGGTGTGTCTACTGTGATCAAGAAGAAAGCAGACTGAATACGTAGGTGTGAACGGGGAAAAGTGGGAGCAAACAAAGACCCCGAGATTCAGTCAAACTTTGCCAAACCATCACACTCACTGGTCTGCTTTTCCTAGCCACGAACTCTTAGCCCGTCCCAAGCAATGCACTTTTCCTTCGGATCCTGAACTCCTTTACTTCTGACTGGAGCTTGGTAATCTGATTCCGAAGTTCTGACTGTAATCAGTACATAAGTATCAATAAGATTTTCCCAGTACTACAAATCATGTTCTGCAGTGAGATTAACATGAAGTAAATTCAGATTACGAAGTATTAATTGAGTGGCTTATATCACCCTCTTTTTGCTTATCTGTAGTTCCTGGGTTTGGTTTGGTTTGGTTCGGTTTTTTACTCCTACAACAGATTGACTTTCTTTCGTAAGAAGGAAACTTTTTTTTTTCAAGAGGTCTGAGCTCAGCAATGTGCTAATGAAACTGAAAGGTAATCCTGTAAACCAGTCTGATCAAGACCTGCGCTGATGCTGAATTAGTTAACTCAGCTGACTGGGTAGCCTTGAGCAAGTCATTTAACTGATCTAAGCAGTTCTTATCTGTTCAAACAGAGAGGAGTTATAGGAAAAGGTCTCTTAGCATCTCTTTAGGCATTTTTTTACAACTGAGATTTTTACTACTTTCACTTGTCCACAAAAATATTTTTTTTCTGGAGTCTGGGAGAGGCCTCAAAGCACAGGAGCAAGTACCACACCTGAGGGAGCCCCAGACTCCATCCTCATTGCCACATGTTCCGCCGAGCGGCACTGGATGCAGCCTCTGAGCACTGAGGCCCCGAGCATCAGCAGGTATAGCCCCGAATAAAAACTAGAACATATTGACAATGATATTGAAACAAACAAGCAAAATACCACACAGTGCCAGAAATTGAGCCCAGACCTCCAGCATGCAAAGCACGGGACACTCAACTGTTCCCTGTTTCTTTTTTATTTTGGGGGACGTGAGGGGTCACTCCGGGTGGTGCTCAAAGGTCACTCGTGGCTCTGCACTCAGGAATTACTCCTGACAGTGCTCAGGGGACCACACAGGATGCTGGAGATCGAACGCAGGTCAGCGTCATGCAAGGCAGACACCCTCCCCGCTGGACTCTCACTCCAGTCCCAATTTACCGCATTCCCTTTGCTCTTCTGCTCCACAACCAGTGGTCCTCAGGGGTAACTCCTGTAGTGCTCAGGGTGGGTCCCAAAAACAAAAAGAAAAAGAGAGAATATGATAGACCTGGGAAGATAGTGCCACAGTAGACGGGAGCAGCTGCGTGGCACACGGGAGCCTCCGGTTTGATTCCTGGCACCGCAGGGCCCCCCAGCACCCCTCGAAATAATCGCTCTGAGCACCCAGCTGGGAGTAGGTCCTGGAGCACTGCCGGGCATGAGCCTACCCAAACCAGCCAGACAATTGAAAATGAGCCTGGACCCTTGTATGTTTATCGTTCACTCTGAAAATAGAAACAATTCATAAAATAATCACCTCTCTAGAGGATGTTAAATGAAAGTGCGCGAGAAAAACACAAGCATTTTACCGACAAGCGTTGCAGGTGGAAGGCGATTTCTGTCAGGAGACAAAGGCTTCACCCTTGAGTGTCCTTCTGCGTGAAGGAAAGTATTTCTCTTCTGTAATTTCACATGAGCTTGTTGTAGACACTCAGTTCTCTGCGTCGCCTCACACCCTCCTCAGAAGGGCCTTCCTTGATTTTTCTCTCTTTTTCTTGTCTTTAACAGACCAAGAAAGAAGCACCCGAGTGGTCTAAGAAACAAAAGATGAAGACCTAGTGTTTGGGATAGTTTTGCTCTATCATCATTTACTCCTAATGTCCTTTTCCCGGTGAACACAACTGTATCTTAATCATGTATCTGGTGTTTTTTAAAATACTTAAAGTCTATTTTAGCTATGAAATGTATAAGATGTTATTGTCATAGCCAAAATGTGACAACTAGCAAGCAATTGTATGCTTTATATTTGTTTTATCTATTTTGTTACAGAATAAATGTCATATACTCTGATATACCTTTTTTAGCTTCCCTAATTCTTCAGTGCCTTGGAAAGTACATGGCTGGGCTGGAGTGATAGCACAGCAGTTAGGGGGTTTGCCTTGCACACGGCCAGCCCAGGTTTGATCCTTGGCATCCCATATGGTCCCCCGAGCACCACCAGGCGTAATTCCTGAGTGCAAAGCCAGGAGTAACCCTTGTGCATCGCCGGGTGTGAGCCAAAAAGCAAAAACCAAAAAAAAAAAAATAAGAAAGAAAGAAAGAAAGAAAGAAAGAAAGAAAGAAAGAAAGAAAGAAGGGAAAGTACATGGCTCAGGCTGCATACAGACAGCCCAGGTCTTCTCCCTGACACCACACGGTCCCCCAGGTACCAGGCACAACCCCTGAAACACTAGTTGAAATTAAGTCCACTGAGCACTGTCAGCTGAAAACAAAATAAAACAATTCTAACAACAAAGTATATAGCTTCATTGGTTAGTATTTTTATATATATTCCAATTTTATTTTTTATTTTATAATTTGTGGTACAGTTTATATCACATAGTAACAATTGTACCAGCATTGAGGATGCTGTGTACAAAGTTACTGCATCGACCACAACACCCAAAAGGAGAGAGAGAACACAGGGGATTGCCCTGCCACAGAGACAGGGGGGATGGGGGGATGGGGGTGGGAGGGATATTATCCATGGTGGTGGAAAATGGGCACTGGTGGAGGGATGGGTATCTGATCATTGTATGATTGAAACCAAAGCACAAAAAATTGTAAATCTACAACTTTAAAAAAAAATAAAATAAAATAAAGGGAAAAAAAAAAACAAAGTTACTGCATCACCAGAGAGGGGAAGACCCCTGGCCACTGTCCCCCTCCCCTCTGATGCATCTCTTCCTCCCCGTAACCCTGATTCCATTCTCAATGTCATAATACACATTTTATAAGTGTCATTTAAGAAGCCACTCTTGGAGACGGAGTGATAGTACAGCAGGTAGGGCATTTTCCTTGCACATGGTTGACCCAGGTTCAATCCCCGGCATCCCATGGTCCCTCCGTGCACAGCCAGGAGTGAATCCTGAGTGCAGAGGCAGGATAAGCCCTGAGCATCGCCGGGTGTGACCCAGCGCAGCCCCCCTGCCCCCCGCAAAAAAAAGCACTCTAATGGCCCAAAATTTGTGTTCAGATATTATGTTCAGATGTGAATTACTGATTTTTTTTCATATATTTCACGTTATCATTGACCAGTCAGATCCAATGGAAAGCCTGTTCTTACAGGAGGAAATTCCCTTATTATATCTGTCAAAGTAGAACTGGATCAGATATAGCGCGGCCCAATTTCTAGTGAGAAAGAGAAAGAGCAGTACGATTTTCTTTTTTCTTCTTTTTTTTTTTCTGTGAAACAGGCTCAATTTCTCGTTCAAGAATTGCCACATTTTAAAAGAAAGAAGTGGGAGGTAGTACAGACATTTCCTGGCCGTGTGAACCACCCCGGGTCAATCCCCAGCACACTGTGCCCCGCCCCCCGACAGCCCTGCACCCCCCTACACCCCCTCAACCCTGCTATGAGGAATGCCTGAGCACAGAGCAAGCAGTAAGCCCTGAACACCACCAGGTGTAAGCCAAAAACCTAAATAAGTAAATACAAGAAGTGAGGCTTCAGAGAGAAAAAGAAACCTATTTTTATAAATCTATTTCTTAAAATCAGATTTTCTCAGCCACTCCCTGACAGTGATCACTGAAGAATTCTTCCCTTCGGGTTGTGGTGGGGCAGGGGTCATCTTTTGCCTGTTGGATGTTTAGCAAGTGTCCCAGCCTCAACGACTAGGTGACAGTGCCCCCGCCCCCCCCTCCCCACCTCCAAGCTGAAATAATCAGAACGTCTCATTCTCTTTGAATTAGCACACCCTTCGCCATCCTCGAAAACAACTACGTACACTAATCAATGATGATCCTTGTAAGGGTAGGAAAGAACACATATCTTTTCAGTGTGTGTGGGGGGGGGGGGGGGTTTGAGCGAGTCCTGACTCTGTGCTCAGGCATCACTCCTAGCAGTGCTCAGTGAACTAGATACAGTGTCAGGGATTGAACCTGGCTTGGCTGCATGAAAGGTAAGTGCCCTACCTGTTGTGATATCTCTCAGATCCCTTCACTTTTCCTCTCTATTTTTGGAATTGGGAGGAGACCACCCTGTTAGTGCTCAGGAACCATCAGCACCAACCATGCAGTACCAGAGACAAAACTCAGGGCCTCCACCTGCGAGACATGCACACCAGCCCCTGGCCTATAGCCCTACTCCCCGTCCCCCTTTTTCACTTTTAAAGAAACTGAGACTCAATAATTTTTTTGGCTTTCTCTCTCTCTCTGTCTCTCTGTCTCTCTGTCTCTCTCTCTCTCTCTCTCTCTCTCACACACACACACACACACACACACACACACACACACACGTCTCTGAGGATTTTTGCTCTTTTTCAAGATCTCAATTCTAGGACCTTTTTTTGTTTGATTTGTTTGAGAGTCACACTTAGTTCTGCTCACAGGGTACTCCTGGCTTGGTGCTTCTGAGTTGTTCCAACAACAATTTAGGAATCATGAGGGGCTGGGGAGCAGGTCTGGGCCTTCTACGTGCAAAGCATATGCTTATTATTGATCAACCTCTCCAAACCCATTTTAATGTCACTGTGGTAAATGATTCTAATGCCCAAGTATTTTGACTTCCTGGGGATCAGAGTGGTGGTACAGAAGGCAGGGCCCTTGCCTTGCACGCAGCCAACTTGGGTTCAGTTCCCAGCATCCCACATGGTCCCCTGAGCCCTGCCAGGAGTGATCCGTGAGCGCAGTCCGGAGTAAGTCCTCAGGAGTGCTGGGTGTGACTCCCCCAAACACACACCAGAAAGAAATTAATTTCTAAACTTTTTTGTGTTGTTGGAATATTTGGGACACATCCAGTAGTGCTCAGGGGCTACTCCAAGCTCAGTGTTCAGGGGACTCTGTTGTGTCAGGGATCCAACCAAAGAGTTAAGCAAGTACCTTAACTCCTAGACTATGTCTCCAGCCCTAACGATTCTTTTTATTTGTTTTTTTTTGGGGGGGGCACACCCAGGAGTGCTCAGGCTCACTCCTAGCAGGTTATCAGACCAGGTCAGCCAGTAGTGAATTCTTAAAAATAACCAGCAACTGTATGAGTTATGAACCCATATATTCTTTCACTTAACAAACATGTAACACCTAAAATCAGGCTTTCAAACTATCATTTATCTTTTCATCCCTTTTTACCCCAAGCCGCCCTGAAAATAGAATTCTGTAATATATGCAACCCCAGAGGTGAGGGTCAGAGAGAGCACCGAGGCTGAGCACGTGCTTGGCAGGCAGCGGCCCAGGTTTGGTCCCTGAGCACCAGCAGGAGCAACCCCCAAGCTCGGAGTCAAGAGTGGCCCCTGAGCACTGCCAGATGTGGCCCCCAAACTAAGACCAGCAATAAGATTTGGAGGCCCAGGGAGTGCTCAGTAGCAGGGCACACCTCCTTCCCCACTCGAGGCCCAAAGTTTGATCCTTGTCCTTCTCCGCATGCCAGCTGTGAAGCTGGGTATGCAGCAGAATACACGGTTTCTAGCACACAACCTCCCCAGTCATTACAAAAACAACAAAGGCAAAGGAAAGGAGGGAGGAGAATAAGCTCCTACTCCTATCCTCAGAATAGGGACGTCTAGCCAGCGTGTAGAAATCACTGTGTCTAAAATCACTGTATGGAGCCAGGGTTATGACGCAAGTGGGTAGTGCATCATCTTGGGCGCGTCTTTTTCTCATTGGCTTTTGTTTTGCTTTTGTTTTCAAGGTACCGGGAATTGAAGCCAGGGTCCCTCGTCTAGGCAGCCCTGGGGTGGATCCTTGGCACTGAGTGCCCTACCCCTAGCACCTGGATGTGATTCTGGTCACGCTCAGGCTCTTGGGCATCTCTGAGATGGGGATCCCACCGCATTTGGCAACGAAAGTGAAATCAAATGGAAGCGTTATGTTTGAGGACCAGAGAGATGCTGGCCCCCTGTGCTGGCTCACATGCTCTGCAGACAGGAATCCTGGATCGGATCACCAGCATCTCATGGTCTCCTGAGCTTCCTCCCAGAGCTGCCCATGAGCACAGAGCCGGGAGCCGCCCCTGAGCAAAAAATAATTATACATGTATATTATGTGTATATTCTACTGAGGAATAACCAACCACCAGCAGGTTTTAGGCAAGGTGCTTAAGCAGGCTGAAGTCAAGTGACAGGCTCTGTTTCTTTCTGAGAGGATAATGAGATTCAGAAGGGAAAGTAGAAGGGAAGTTGACAGAGGGGGAAGGGGGATTGCTTTTGGAACACTGTACACAAGAAATTCAACTATGTAAATCGTAGTGCCTTAATATTAGTACAATTAAATGTAAAATAAATAATGTTTAAAGGAGGTGGCAGTGTGCTTGGTCTCCTTTCCACTTGGAGGAGATGGAATAGCCCCAGGGTCAGGGCTATTCCATCAAGCAAAAGAAAGGGAATGCACTTTATATTGGTCAGTTTTCTTTGTTGTCATGTGAATGGCCAAGTTTGGAAGCCTGCAGAGAGAGCTCAGGGTTGGCTGAGTTCATAGGGCCTCCTTTGCTTGGTTGCCTTACAGAGTTCCTTTACAGCTTTCGCTCTTCGTGTAGTCAAGGTGATGTCTTCAGGAGTACGCCCACAGTCACTGGTCTGTAAGGCATAACAGAGTAAGTTTGAAAAGCAAAACCCAGAATATGGGGGCTGGAGCGATAGCACAGCGGGCAGGGCGTTTGCCTTGCATGCGGCCAAGCCAGATTCGATTCCCAGCATCCCATAGGGTCCCCTGAGCACCGCCAGGAGTAATTCCTGAGTGCAGAGCCAGGAGTAACCCCTGTGCATTGCCAGGTGTGACCCAAAAAGAAAAAAACCACAGAATATGGCT